GAGCTCCCAGCAGCAGGACGCCTGCAGCCCCTCAGGCAGTGACAAACGGCTGTGGTGGCAGAGGAGGCTTGGGAAGGGCTGTCAGACGTGACATATGTTCCCAGCAGTGGACTGGCATTAAAATCAGCCTGCAGGGGGATGGGGGTGTTTTCAGAGGATGTTCCATCTGCACTGCTTGCACAGGGTGCAAAGATCAGCCTTAGAATTCAGGGAGCAATCTGTTTCCTTCTGGGTTTCCAGGAAGGAAAATCCTGGGCTGTAAATAAATAACTGGCAGCTTCACCCAAGTGTTATAAATAATCTGACTTGGTACTCACTTAATTTTCTCTGATCGTTTTCATTTCAGGCCTTTGGAAATGCAAAAACCCTTCGGAATGACAACTCCAGTCGGTTTGGGAAGTACATGGATGTGCAGTTTGATTACAGGGTAACTTGGAGTCTGGTTTATGTGTCAGGGACTGGTCCCAGTTACAGGAGCTCTCTGTGTTCTTGTGTTTTTGTGTGTGTGCAGTGAGTGCTTTGCATTCCCTTGGTGACAGCATAAGCAGAGCCTGTGGTGGCAAAATTTGGGTCCAGAGGATTTCATGGCACTCGCTCTCCTTTCATTCCTCCCTTATTTCTCTGTATAAGGAGACACTGAGATCAAACCCTTTTATTTCTAGGGTATTTTATTTCTAGTGCTCTGTCCAATGGGTACTCCCCAGGTAAATCCGCATAAAGCAGCTGAGTCTTCTGAAGATTATTCCTGTCCTGTGTAACTTTGCACAGAGTTTGTGTCCACTCTGATCCCAACTGGCCCACACCAGCACGGTGGGCAGTGCAGGGGCTGAGGAGCTCAGCACTGCCATCCTCCAGGCCTTTAGGTCTTCTTTAATCCCTCCACACTCAGTTTTGGTGCTTTCCCTCTGTGGTGATTTCCTAGAAGGAATTTTAGCACTCAAATCACCACCGTGCTGAAATAGAGCTTGTGGCACAGAATGACAGAGCATTTTCTGTGTTTTTGTGGGCTTTTGCTTCTGATCTTGTCTTTGAACAGACAATCAAGAAGCAGAAACATTTTCCTCTCTGTTGATGAACTCTTTCCACGTGTCTGGTTTGGTTTAGGGGGCTCCTGTCGGGGGCCACATCTTGAACTACCTCCTGGAGAAATCCCGAGTTGTGCACCAGAACCACGGCGAGAGGAACTTCCACATCTTCTACCAGCTGCTGGAGGGAGGGGAGGAGGACCTGCTGAGGAGGCTGGGCCTTGAGAAGAACCCACAGCAGTATCACTATTTAGTAAAGGTGAATATTAACTAGAATTCTTAAAATATTGTATCACAGGCTTGGGATATCTCCAGTTGTTGACTTTGTGATTTCCTTCCCTCATTTCAGAAATAACTCTGAGGTGACTGCTGTAAGAAGAAACACACTGTATTGAGCATGGATAATGTATCATTGATGATTATTTACTTATTTATATCAAGCTGTGTCTTTTTAGGGTCACTGTGCAAGGGTCAGTTCCATAAATGACAAAAATGAGTGGAAGATCATGAGGAGAGCCCTGTCAGTTATCGGCTTCAATGACAGTGAGGTGGAGGTGAGGTTTAGCAGCACAGATTTTCCTACTTTGAAGGATTTTTTTCTGCTTTAATTTAGGATTTCTGATTGAAATCAGTGAATCAATTCATAGTTAATGTATTCCCCACAAAAATCCTGAAAAATATATAAAATGCTTTCCTAAAAAGTGAATTAAGACAAAAAAAATTGCTGTGTGTTCATTCCATCATCCTGATGTCTGCCTGTTGCTTCCATGGCAGGATTTGCTGAGCATTGTGGCCAGTGTCCTGCACCTGGGGAATGTCCAGTTTGCTGCTGATGAGCAGGGGAATGCTCAGGTCACCACAGAGAATCAGATTAAATACCTGGCCAGGGTGAGTATCACCAGTGAGGGAGATGTTACAGGAAAGGTGAATTGTAGAGGATTCCTTCCTTTGACCTTAATACCATCATAAGACTGTGATTAGAAGTTCTCATCAATGAGACTGTGATTAGAAGTTCTCATAAATTTAGACTGTGATATAGAAGTTCTCATAAATTTCACTTTTATTTCACCTAAATAGAATGTAAATATTATCATCAAACCCATTTAATTGACAACTTCTCTATTTACCACCTGACCCACCCCTGCCTTGAGGCTTCCACAGTGAGGAACAGACTCTGGGAATGAGTTTTAAAGAAAGAACCACCTTAGTGCCTTTGCTTGGTCACTTCCTTCCAGCCAATTCATTTGCTAGCTCATATCCCTGCCAGAAAGGAGGCAAGGGAGGGATTGATGCTGCAGTTTTGTTCAGTGTGAGTGGGAAATAAAGGGTTGTTTCACTGGGCTGGGATTTTAGGAGAATGCAATGTACATCTCCATAAATTAATTGAATATCCTGCATGCAGCTGCTGGCAGTGGATGGCTCTGTTCTTCGGGATGCACTGATCCACAAGAAGATCATAGCAAAAGGGGAGGAGGTAAGAACAGGCCCTGGGGATGTGGGAGCCCGATGGGATTAAAGGAATTGGCTCTGCCAGGAGGCTGTCACTGCAGGGGTCCCACTGGTACCTGCTGAGCATGAGCAGGGTGCTTTTGAGTGGCTGTTGAGTGATGATGAGGCAGGAAAAGGGGATCCCTTGGTTTGGGGGGTGCTGAGGGGTCTCTCTGCTCCTGCCTGCAGCTGGTGAGTCCCCTGAACCTGGAGCAGGCAGCCTACGCCAGGGACGCCCTCGCCAAGGCTGTCTACGGCCGCACCTTCTCCTGGCTGGTCAACAAGGTCAACAAATCCCTGGCTTACAAGGCAAGTGAACCTTCTGCTCGTTGAGATCCAGCCAAACTGAAAGCAATTGCCACATCTTTCAGCCTCAAAGCGAGTTCCATGCTTTTAGTCATTCCTAAATTCATTTGTTTTCTGAATTGTGGAGTAAACGCTGGGATTAGATGATGGAGATCCAGGCGTGGATCATAGCTGTGAGTAAATACCTACATTTGTTTTCTGCTCTGCTGCAGGAAGAGAAGTTTCCAGGCTGGAGAAGTACAACAGTTCTAGGATTGCTGGATATCTATGGGTTTGAGGTTTTCCAGCACAACAGGTTTGTTTTGATAAATTCTGAATTACATTATTCAGTTTATGGTGTTTTCTCTCCCTTGTGAAACAAGGCTTTGTTCTATTTCTTAGTAAGGAAGGTGGCATTTAAATGTCAGGACATCAGGTGAAAAACTGCTAATCACATGGCTTCTAACACAACATCCAGCTAATAATTTAGCATTTACAGCTGTTAATGGTGCTGGTATTTAAAATCAGCTGTTGTTTTTTGGTTGTATTCATGCCTTATGTTGAGCTGTGCCTTTGTCCAGCTCTCCAGCCCAGGGCTGGCTGTTGTGGCATCTTCCCATGGTGGTGATAAACCAGGGATGGGACTGGCAGAGTCTGGAACCTCCCTGGCAGGTGGCACTGAACCCAGACTCTCAAATTTGCAGTGTTATTGGGCCTTTATTCAAGGCTTTTGTGTTCCTTCATGTTCCCTCCTTCATGTCCGTTTTCCTAAATAATAAACTTACTAAATGCATGCAGTCAGTAAATAAACACATCACAAAAATCTATTTCTCTTGATTCACTGTTTCCCTGCTCCTCTCACAGTTTGTAGCTCCTTCTTTACAAACAGTGATTATTTTCTGATTTCTCTTTGCAGCTTTGAGCAGTTTTGTATTAATTATTGCAATGAAAAGTTGCAGCAGCTCTTCATAGAGCTGACCCTGAAGTCAGAGCAGGAGGAGTACGAGTCCGAGGGCATCGCGGTAAGAGCCCAAATCCCCCTTCCCTCTCCTTCCAGAGACCCTGCCATGATCTCCAAATCAAGGAATTAAAGAATTTTCCTTTTTCCCTTCTTTTTGAAACCCTGGTAACTGTGTGAGACAGCTGGAAGTGAGTAATGCCATCCCAAGCTTTTATTCTGATTTTAATAGAGGCAATGTCAGGAAAACAAATGTGATGAGTGAAAAAGCTTTGACATAAAGATTGTTTAAATTGGGTGCTCTCTGAAATGTTCTGAAATTTACATTTCTTTTCCAGTCTTGAGTTGTTTTCACCTAAGTGTGATTTCTTGTCTTTGCAGTGGGAACCAGTTCAGTATTTCAATAACAAAATAATTTGTGATTTGGTGGAAGAGAAATTCAAAGGCATCATTTCTATTTTGGTGAGTTGAAAACAGTTTTGAAGGAAAAATTTTGGGCGTTGTAGTGGAAAATGTGGGGAAAAATCTGTTTATGTTGGAAGTATTTGAGGAGGTGGGAAAAGCAATAATACACTGAATAATGACACCATTAAAAGTCATTGCATCACCTCCATGGGCTGTGGGGAAAGCAGCTCCCAATCCAGGCAGTCTGTAAGGAGGGAAATGTTTTCCTTTTCAGCTAAAGAATTCTTCATTTATTGAGCTAAAAGTTGTTTATCTGTGGAAAGGCCAAACTAAAGGAGAGTTTCAGAGGCAGAGCCCAATCAGAAATCCCTGGAATTTGTGTGTTTGTAGGATGAGGAGTGTCTGAGACCTGGGGATGCCACAGACACAACGTTCTTGGAGAAACTGGAGGAGACTGTGAAGAACCACCCTCATTTTCTCACGTGAGTGTTCTCTCAGCTGAGGGATTCCAGTGTGTGAATAACATCCTCACTGTGCTGGGTCCCACATAAAAGATGGTAATTTTCTTTTACAGAGAGATTTGATTGATATTTAAGATAACATAAAATATGTTGTCAACATTAAGTGCCTGACTGAGCTTCAGACTGCAATAGGGGCAACAAAACTTTTGTTACTGACTCACTTCTCACGTTGCAGATTATTTATTCCAGTTTTGGAGTTCCAAATGTCTGTTTATTCTGAATGTCCTGCTTTTGTTCTGAATGTTCAGTTTAGGATGTCTACATCTTATGTGCACACAGAACCACTCTGCAAGGAACACTGACATTTCCCTTTTAATTAAAACATAAATACGTTTAATGACACTTCTGTGATGTGCTGGTTGATAACTTTATTTACCTGAAAATCCCCAAGTCCAGTTTGCATTCCTTGCTCACCTCTGCACAGTCCTGCTCCAGGACTGAATGTGCTGGTGCTTTTTGAAGTGAATCCTGCAGGATTTTGTTTCTCCTGAGGGTGTTTGCTCCCTCCCCAGGCACAAACTCGCTGACCAGAAGACGCGCAAGTCGCTGGGGCGGGAGGAGTTCCGGCTCTCGCACTACGCTGGGGATGTCACCTACAGTGTTGCAGGTAACACAGAAAAACCAAAAGTCTGCGCCTTAAATACATCCCCACATCATTTGATCAACCAGATTAATTTCAAATCTCAAATCTCTGCCTTGAGGCCCCAGTGGAGCAGCCTGAGTGGTTTGTTTTTTCTTCCAGGTTTTCTCGATAAAAACAACGACCTTCTCTTCCGGAACCTGAAGGAGGTGAGTGTGGAGAGAGGAGTTGCCAGGACAGAATGGGGAGTTGGGTTTAAAATCAGGTGGCACCTGAGGGAAAGGATTCTTCTAGACTCCACCTGGAGGCTGTGTGTCCACAGGGCTGCGCTCTGAAAAGACTGATTGAGACCCCAGTGTTCATTTTGTTCTTTTAAATAGTTTTGTCCTCAGGTTTCTCTGGTAGTTCTCTGTACTTCATCTCTGAAAACATCTCTCTCTGCAGACCATGTGCAACTCGGAGAACCCCATCATAAACCAGTGCTTTGATAGGACAGAGCTGACAGACAAAAAGAGACCTGAAACGGTGAGAGCTCCAGAGCTGTGGCTGTTTCCTTTTCTGAAACATGAACTCTGACATGATCTGAATGCAAACCCCTCATGTTGTATTCTGCTGGTTTGTAGCCAGCTCCAAGTCATCCCTTCACGTGTAGTTTTCTTTTTTTTTTCTCCTAGGCAGCAACTCAGTTCAAAAACAGCCTCTCCAAACTCATGGAAATCCTGATGTCCAAAGAACCCTCCTACATTCGCTGCATGAAACCCAACGATGCCAAGCAGGCTGGTATGGCCCAGGGATTGCATCCCAGTCAGGGAGGCACAGAAAGGAGCCAAAAGATTTTGGGTTCATTTTGGGGCTGAGCTTCTGTAGGGAGGGGATGGCAGTGCCAGCAGCCAGGAATCACAACAGGAGCACTGCTCTTGGGTAGAGGAAGGTGGTGGTTAAAGTAAAGAATTACTGACCTGTGTAAATTCATTATAATCACCTTATTCTCCCTCAGTTTTGGTTCCTCTATGCATAAAACATCCCAAAGGAAAAACTTCATTTTGGAACAAAATATAAATAATTAAAAAGGGATGGGAGGGGAGAAGGCAGGAAACACAAAATTGTGTGGAACTTGTGCTGTGAGAATTCATTGGAGGTTTAAGATAATCCCGTGAGACACAACCAGAGCTGAACGTTCCCCTTCTCTAGAGCAAGGGGCAGCTGTGCACTGATGGTGTTTGTCCCTTTCCATGCCCTGCCAAGACCGATTTGATGAAGTCCTGATCCGACACCAGGTGAAATACCTGGGGCTGATGGAGAACCTCCGGGTGCGCAGAGCCGGCTTCGCCTACCGCAGAAAATACGAGGTTTTCCTGCAGAGGTGAAGCTACTTTGGAATTCTTTCCTCTGCTGCTCCCTCTCCCTGAGCTTCATCCCATTGCTGCTGAGGCTGGGAGCTGTTTTGAACAGCACAGGGGCAGCTTTACCACCTAGAGGGGTGGGAAGTTTGGGCTGTCTCCCTTCCCATGACCCCTCTCCCTTCCCTTGATTCTCCTGCTCCTTGGATTGCACTTCTCTCCCTGAGATTTTCTCTCCTGCCAATTCCCAGGTACAAATCCCTGTGTCCAGAGACGTGGCCCACATGGGATGGGCGGCCCTACGATGGGGTGGCTGTGCTGGTGAAGCATCTTGGCTACAAACCAGAAGAATACAAAATGGGACGGTCAGTTCTGTGTTCAGTTTGAGGTTATGAATCACTGCATGTCCCTGTTGTCCCTTTGAAATGAAGCTTCTCTAGATAATGGGGGAGGGAAAGATTACAGAGCCCAAAGGGGATGCCAAAAGCAAGTTGCTCCAGCATGCAAAATGTAGTTCTGCATTTCTATTTCCAGAACAAAGATTTTTATCCGCTTTCCCAAGACCTTGTTTGCCACAGAAGATGCTCTGGAAGTGAGGAAGCAGAGTCTGGGTGAGGCACTCACACTTGCAGTAAATTTCTATTTTAAAAAGTTGAGTCTTTTTCTACCCAAATGTGCTTGGTCACAGTTGCAAATTGCTGCTTTTCTTGCAATTCCAGCCACAAAAATGCAGGCGACGTGGAGAGGTTTTTACCGCCGGAAGAAATTCCTGACCATGAAACACTCAGGTATGAGACACAGAAGGAGGGAGAGATGTTCCCCCAGCAGCTCCCACAGCAATTCCCATCCTTTTACTGACATTCATCCCATGTATCAGATTACTGAAAACTCATATTCTTGCCCCCATGCCCCTCTGAAAGCTGGTTATTTCCAGAGTGGGTTTTCCTGAGCATTTTTGGTGCCAGTTTTGTGTGGAGTCAGTCTGGGGATGAAGGAGCTCCCTTAATGCAAAATCTTTGTGTTATTTTTAGCCATCACCATCCAGTCCTGGTGGAGGGGAACCCTGGGACGCCGAAAAGCTGCCAAGAGGAAATGGGCAGTGGAGACAATCAGGAGGTGTGTGAAGAGCAGCCCAAGCCCTCAGACATCACATCCCTTAACAATCAGATGCTAAAAATAAACTTTCTTGTCACTACAGAGTTTTTTTTAAATAAATTACAGCAATTAAATAAAACTCAGGAAATAGAACCTTTAAATAGCACTAATTTGGATGACTTTTAAAATTTTCTAACAATATTTTCCACACCCACAGGTTCATTAAAGGCTTCATTTACCGGAACCACCCGCGGTGCCCAGAGAACGAGTATTTCCTGGATTACATCCGATTCTCCTTCCTGATGAACCTCAAGAGGAACTTACCAAAAAATGTCTTGGACAAATCATGGCCAACTCCTCCCCCATCACTCTGTGAGGTGGGAATGAGCCCTGGGATGTGGGAGGGGAATCCAGGCCCAGAGGATTGCAGCTTCTTGGAGTGTGCTGCTATTGCAACACCATTTTCTCCTGGGCTTCTCATCCATTTCTGAAATTCCCTTCCATTTTCTCTTAACAAATTCAGTTCCCTCTGTTGCTGTTATTATCCTGCATCTGTTTGAATTGGTTTATCTGCTCAAAACAAAATATTGCAGAAAACCCAGTTACCTTATCCAAAGAATTGTTTGGATGGAAGGTACAGCTCATAGAGAAAGGCAAAAAATCAACTATTTTTATTTAATTCCTGGTCAGGAAACAGCTTTTTAACCCAGCAGGGCATTTTTTGCAGTTTCTGCTGCTCTGTTGGGTGTGTCCCTATGGGTTTATCAGTGTTCTGG